CACCGCGGCCCGGACTGGGGGCTGTGCCCCTGGCCAGAGCGGCCTCAGCTTTCTGGCCCCACCGCCCCGAAATTTGCGTTTTTGAACAGGAGTTCTCAGCCCTTCTTCTCCAGAAATCCAAACAAGGGCAATTTCCAGGATTTCCCCCCTCCCTGGGAAGCCACCATTTGCTCCAGATGAGTTAATAATTACACTGGCTTTTCACAGCCGCTGGTGCTAGTCAGGGCTCTGCAAAGCACAACCTGCACGCAGCCAAGCACCGTTGGGGTGGGTAAGATAGCAGAACAGGAGTGTGCCTTCCCTCACCTGCTGCTGACAGGTCATCACAGGTCTGCAAAATCACCTCTTCTCTGCCCTCTGCAAGTCTGTTGAGACCAGACAGTTGCATACGAAAAGCAAAGTCCTGATTGAAGTCCAGGATTTTAGTGTTTGCTTCATTCCACAATCAAATGTGTTCAACGGGTAAAGACAGAACGTGCTGAGCACACCACAGCTTTTTACACTGAATACACATTTCTGATGTGTGATCACAGTAACCTTTCAAACTCTAAGATGGGCACCTGCAATGAAGTCAAGATTCATGTCATCCCTGCCTTTTGCACTGATGGATGCTGCCAAACTGCTCCCTTGATGGTGACCAACTGTTGTCTCATAGGTTATACTTAAAACACTTGATGATTAGCACAGTGAGTGTCCATGGCTAGGATCTGAGAGAATGTTATAATGTATATAAACAATAATTCTGCTGGTGTCCTTTTCAAATCCCCAGTTATGAAACACCACAGATGCAGTGACTTGTCTCAAATCCCACAGATGCCTCCGGCAAAGCACAGAACTGGACTGTGGTCTCCCATCTCCTGTTGCAGTAACCAAACCTCTGGAAACCATCATTGGTTTCTAATCAGAAAATGGAGGGTGTTCTCCAGAGGAAGGATCTGCAACATTAAGGGATGATGACTGGGGTATTTAAAACTAGGCTGTTCTTGTAAAGGAAAGATCTAAGAAAGTGTATTCAGACCCAACCCCCATCAGAATAATCAGACTGATAACAGAGAAGAATGTGAGCTGGCTCTACAAACAGGCAAGTATCCGGTCAGCCACAGTTCTTTGGCCTACACTAGAAAAAATATTTACAAACTTTGGCAATAAATTCAAAGCTGACAATGGTCATCTGCTTCAGGGTCAAACCTTCCAGTGGCTTTTGCGGCATTTTGTTCCCTATCCAAATATAACCCTACCATGGTCTCTAATGACTGAACTACTTGAGAGGTCTATGTAGAACCTGGGGGAATAAAACCACTAAAAATACCCCATTCTTGGGGAAACAGACTTTTTCTTCTTCTCAGTATAGCCCATATTGCACTGTGTAGGGTACATAAGCTTCAAAATCTGCATGAGATTATTTTCACTGGGCATCACCCATACTGGAGAGATTTCTAAGTGTGTGAATTAATTCTGTCCAGCCTTTATCAGAAAACCTCTTTGGTTACAGTTTTGGGTTTAGCCCCTTAGGAAAAGTCACAAGGTCCTTGGTATAAAATAATAAGCACTGAACCAGTTTTGGCACCAACAGTCATTGGTGGAATGAATGATTACTTGATTCAAGGCCCCATTAAGTGCTGACATGTTTACAAGCCACACTTTATTACTGAATGTACTGGGAATTTGGCAGTGGAGAAGTCAGAATCTGCTCAAGACGAAAAAAGGCACATACACTCCTCTATCCTCATCTCCTTTAAGACTGTAAGTGCCACAGTCTGACTTTCTCATGAAACTGTACCACCTGGAATATGAACTTAAAGGAGGCAAGAACTCTTAGCAGCAGCTTGGCATAGCTCTTTGATGCACTGGGGGGGTGGGGGGTTCCACAGCCAAAACCACAGCTGTTCTCAGTTATCAGGTGTTGGTTGGATCCCAGACTTACCGACTTTCTGGCACTGAATGTCACCCCTAGGAGTCAGAAGGTGCAGGTGAGATCACAGAGGGAGGGGGTGGCAGCAGAGGGTAGCCACAGACTCTGCAAGGCTTTTCATGGTGCCAGGGCAGGCCAGGCTCCACAAGTGAGAAATGGGATTCTTCTGTTTATAAGCAGTATAAATCAAGAACACAGATCTTACAAGTGTCACCATTCCTCATGGAGATGTTTTAATTGTAGCCAAGCAGCTGCACTTTTTGTGCGTAAGTGTGAGGAACTTACAGGACCTAGGAGACTGCTGTGAACTCCTCATTTACAGCAAAGAAAAAGCAAACGAACCTGCAACTCACTGGTGGTGACACAGAGAATGAGTCTGAGAAGGATGAAGGTGCAGTGTTTAGTTACTAGCAAACTCACTTCAGAAATTGTCAGAAATGGCCAAAGAAAAAATCACCAGCAGGCAAGGAGGAGTGCTGTGGCAGCAGGCTGATCACCAGGTGGAAAGGATTCTCTTCTCTAGGCCAAGCAGCAATGAGGTGGCCAACAGGGATCCAGGGGGCCAGTGCCCAGAGATGGGTGCTGCCATCTGGGAGCAGCTTGGAAAATACAAAATGGATCAGAAGAGGACTTGCTAGTGGACACTCCACCCAACTGCCCCTAATACCCACAGATATAAGAGGTCAGCGTCTTGTGAGACCAGATCCTGTTTAAGCTCTCCATAGCCCAGGACATGCAGGGCATGAGGGGCAGAAGGGTTTTCTTAACCTGCTGCTCTCAGGCTGTGCTTGTACACAGCCGAGTCAGGTGCCAGGGCTGCTCACAGTTCAAAGCCTCATTTGGCCTGTCGCTTAGTCATTATAAGTTAATTTCTTATTTTCCTTTGTTGTTATATATACAGTTACTTGTTAAATAATGCAATTACTGTAGGGCAGGGACATGTGTGGGACAACTTCTCTCTTTGGCTCTTGTTCTTCTGTATTTAAATATATAAATTTAAATATAAATTTATGAAGTGCTGGGACCACTTCTGAATCCACCTCAGAAGGCTCAGTCCACACACCGCAAGACTGGCTGATGTACTGGGCACATGGGGGGTGATATAGTCTGGACATGTTTTGTGTAGCACAGTCTGTTGCCAGAGTAGGAAGTTTATTTTTATCAGGATGTCCAGCACTGTAGAGCCATTAAGCAATGAGGATCAGTGGGTACTGTCATATTATCCCAAATCCTTGGTTCTCCTTGTCTCGTGAGTTCTTTACATGGGATTTAGACCTATTTTTACTCTTTCTTTTGTCTTTCTCACACTAAAGTTATGCAAGTAAACCCATCATTTGGCAAATAAAGTCTGGCAGAAGGAAAAGGTCTTCTTAATAAAGGAGCTGCAGCTGCAAGACTGGTTGAAATGTGGTGATATGGGTGCCAGCTGACCAGTCTTTCCCTCACATAGCTCTGAATGAACAGCCAAACTGCAAGCTCAGCATCACACATCAGTGCTAGGTGACACCCAGAAGGGGACAAAATCAGAGAGCAGTAGCCTGAAGCTCTGAAACAAAATAGAGAGTAAGGAAAGAAGGGAGTAAATGCAGTGGCAGGGAATGAAAAGGATGATTCAGAGCAGAAAAAAAAATGTATTACACTATTAGCCAGAAATTATTTTGGCAAAATTACACTTCATTATTTTTTTATGCATTTATTCCTCTTAAAAGGATTTTTCCAAATTCTCCTTCCCTCTAACTATAAAATAAATTATGAATTGTGAGCAAGAAAAGCTGTATCTCTTCCAGTGAGTCTAGTTGCACTCAGTCCCAATATACAGTAGCATTCAAGTGCCTTCTCTTCTGCCATGCTTGAAGAGTACTGCAAAGTATTCCCAGTCTGATCACAAAGTCAACCAACAGTGTCCTGCCCATGCCTAAGGCAGTGTGAGTCAGTTCAAGAGAAGTAGGAGCAACTGGCATGGGTATGGCTTGTAGGTTTGTGGGGAAATGGGATGAAGATGAATTTGCTTTGCCTGGTGGTCTCAGAAATTGAGAAAGAGGAGAAAGGCAGCTCATGAGGGAACAAAGACCCAATGTGGGAGAACTGTGAGACCCACACACATAAGCTGAAGAATTTGAGAAGGGATCTTTCCAACACTGCCAAGCCCCAGAGTGATCCCATCCCCAGACACCAGGGCCAGCACCACACGCATACAGTGTGCCAGGAGTGGTAGTGCAAAGCAGGGATGCAGGAGGAGGACATCCACAGTGTGCTGAAGAGGGGCTTCAGTGAGGCAAGTGGGAGATCTGCCACATCCAGGGAGTCACATCTCTGCTGGGCTCACATTGACAAACTGAATCTGTTTCACAGCAGACCGGAATGAAGAGAGATCCAAAATTAGTGAGTCTCAGGAGTCTGAGTTGCTGGCTGATGCCTCAGCACAGAGGGTCACACAAGCCCCTGATGCTGACCTAGGGGTTGAAGGTGAATGCTTTCTGACCATCTGCCCTCACTAGCCTTTCCCTTACAGTCAGAACTGTACCTACCAACTGGTATGTATCCAAAATGGAGTCCAAGGACACAAGCCTGAACAACATGTAATCTGGCAATCGATAAAGCTGGGTGGGGAGCAGATGAATTTCCCTATAAGAGCTCTCCCTTTGATGTTAAGCATCTTCCTTCAACTGCTCTCTACACACCATGGCTATTTCTTTGTTCTTTCTCCTCTCCTCTAGTCATTAATAGCCAACACTGCCAGCCCAACCTGCTGCCTGGGAGCAGGAGCAGCTAGCTGAAACCAGGGATGGGACTGTGGCCCTGCTTGTGCACTCCTGATGACACACTGCATAACACTTGTGGTCTGCACACCATGCGTTTGCCACAACTGTCCTAGACTTTTCTGGTGGCACTTCTCTTATTTTGTGCCTCATGAAGTCAGTCCTCTGGCTAAAAAAATCTTGCATTCATTTTTGTAACAGTAGGATTTATCCATAATTTAGGACGAGAACTTTCTAACTTGTTAGAAATGGAAGGAAAACCAAAAAACCCAAGAACACAAGAACAAAGACTGTTTTGTTAAAGGCTTCAGACTGAACTGGAAAATGGCTTTGATGAGAGGGGAATTTGTCCTGAGGTCAGACCATTGAATGCATATAACAGCATGGAGAAATATGAGCTCTAAGTATGGGGTTTGATGAAGGAATTCCAAATGACAGGTTTTTGTGGAAATACAGCCTCCAGCTGCACTGATATGTCTCACTGCAGCTGTGTCAACAACAGCCAATGGCCAAGATGAGAATGCTGGGATTCTTTCTGCTGATTGTAAGCCAAAATGTTCTGACCTGCCCTAGCTCTGCTGGCAGTATCAGCTGCATGCTTAAATTAAGGAGTTTTTTTAAAAAAGATGAAAATGTTTTTGGCTGATGTCAAGAATTCCAAATTACACCAAGAAAGGTTTAGTCACATCGCAGACTGGTGAGAAACTGTTGCAAGTCACTGGATGCCAAATGGAGAAGCAAGTAGGATACATTAACTCCTACAGGTCTGGCATAAAGGGGTGGGGGGAATCAGAGGATGATAACACCTAAAGAGTAAAACCCTACTGTTGTTGCGGTTTTTTCAGTAACATAGTGTTACTTAATTTTAAGTTGCTTAATTTATTTAAAAGAGGAGGGAGGACACAATGCACCACTCATCAATGTACTCTTTCTCTGTAGATCCTGAGCAGGCCTTTGCAGGCATTACAGGCACAGAGCTGTACTTGGAAGCATGCAGGCTGATGGATGTGGTCTGTCTGGTGGCCTGTCTCACACTTTGTTCAAAACTTGGCCAAGCCAAGTTTCTGAACCATCATGGAAAATACTTCTTTTGTATGCAAATTCCCACTGCCATGGCTCACATCCCCAATCACTGTCCTGCTCAAGACCTGCAGCACTTTCTGAGGTTTGGAGGAAACATCCAGTGTCTGTTGAACTAAGGAAGTTATCCTCTTTGTTACCTTTTCAGTATTTTTTTTGCATGTCTCTGGTTACCTTTTTGTATTCCCAGTCCAACACAACCATCACCCATCTAGAGCTGGAAGACAACTGCATTTTGGCAGAAGGAGCCATATGCATAGCAGAGATGCTACGAGAGAATTACTCCCTTCAAGTACTGGTACCCAATCTGACATAGTTTGTAATCAAAATTATTGCTCATCAAGTTCAATCATCTGAAAGAAAACCAATTCATTCCATTAAATTTTTAACCAAATAACTGTTGTAAGATTCGCATTCTGAAATTCATGGTATTTTATGCTGTTCTACTTTTTAAAAGTACAAGCTTCTGAAAAGCAGAAAAGTGCATGTAGTGGCAGTCTGGTGAGTCTGGAACTGTTCTCTTCATTAGCAGATATGGCAATAATTACCATAACATGTTTTTCTAATTTATGCTTAGCCAATGGAAAAAATGTTTTGGTCAGGAATTTTCATTCTCCAATATGGCATGGGGAAACTTTTCTAAATAGATTAAGGGAATAATGCAAAACTTTCAGATATGAACTGGTAGGAATGTTCTTTTGATCTGAAACTGGGGTATACAAAATGCATTTTGATAGGCCGTGGGATCTGTGTTACACTGAAAGAAAGGATTCTTTGCCAAATGCCTCTTGGTTCACTGAAGACAAAGACCTATGTGACACTGATGGCTCTAGGGTTTTATTTCTGTTAGGAAGGATACAGGGTTAAACACACCTATAACTCACACATTAATTACTGTCTGGCTAACATTTCTCATACTGGTCATCTTGCATTATTCCCTTGATATCTTGGGCATTAAGAAGACAGTAAAGCAAATACATTTTTGGCCTCATCCTCCTTATCCTCCTTTCTCTTTCTCCAAAACACCTCTAATAACCATCTATATACAGCAGGAGCTGAAGCCATTGCCAGTTTGCTTTTGGATAACATGTCCTATCTCAATGTGCTCCAGCTCAGGGTGGGGTGGGACATGACACTGTATGTGCACAAACAGTGGTGGAAGTGAAATATCATGTGTTTCATTCCAGTCTCTCACCCTGAGAGTATCAGTCAGACTATGGGCAAAAACAACCTCTCAGCTATGTCTCTGACAGGAACCCAAAGTAACAGCAGAAATCTAGATTTATGGTGATGTGATTAAATAATTGGCCTGCTCAGCTTCCAGCAGCTCTGAAAACCAGTCCCTTACGAGAAACTTAGATAATTGCTGGAGCATCTCCACATCTTGGGGTAATTCTACTCTATGGAGCAAAGTATATTAGTGACTAATTTCTCTATTGGGTCTGGCTGAGATTTTCCCCATAGTAGCCCTCAGTGCTGTGCTTTGTATTGGTAGCTAGAGAGGTGTTGATAAACACACCCGAGTTCTGGCTCCCAGAGCATCAAGCACTGTCTCTCCAACATCTCCCTCATCACTAGGCTGGGGGTAGGCAAGATCTTGGGAGGGCACATAGCCAGAACAGCTGATCCAACCTGACCAAAGGGATATTCCATACCATATGGCATCTCCTCAGCAATAAAAGCTAAGAAGAAGGATTGTGGGGATGGTGGGGAGAGGGGGGTGGTGTGTGCACATATGTTATTGCAACATTTGTCTTGTGGAACAACCACTATGTGTTCTGAAGCCTGACTTCCCAAGCAGTGAGGAGACATTGCCTGCTGATCGGAAATAGGGAATAAATCTTTTCCTTTGTTTCTGTCTGTGGCCTTTTTTTTCCTTTGCTTTATTTAACTGCCTTTATCTTGACCCACAAGGTTTTCTTCTATCTTATTTTCTCCCCCCTGTCCTGCTGAGGAGGGGAGTGAAAGAACAGCTCAGTGAGTACCTGGTGTCCAGCCAAGGTCAATGCACCATAAATTCTTACAGCCACATATGGACTGTGATGAACTGGAGGTTCCACCTAAAAGCACAGCTTTCTGCAAGTTCCCGGCACAGCACCAAGGGAGAGATCAGTGCACTGTTAACATACTTTTCTTCCCCAGGAAACCACTTTGGATAGAAGACTGCATCATACTTTGCTGAGGCATTAATGGTGAGTTACCTGCAATCCAAGGTCATTTGCAGCTCTGGCCGTGGAACAGACTCTTCTCATCTTGAAGCTGCTACTGACTTGGCATGATTTCACTTGGCAATGCCCACATGATTTCCTGGCATAATTCTGCTAAGTGCCTCTTGCTTAGTTCAGAAATAAGAGATGCTGGGAGGACACAGAGCTGGATGAACTGCACCAACATTTTTTCAAGACAGCTCTGTGTGTCTGGCTGAGAAACAAACCTTCAGAACCATGTAAGAGATCCCAGCTTCATAAAATTTTGCAATTCTCCAGTAAAAATAAGAGGCTTGACTTCAATGGTTAGTTCCTTCTCAGAGCCTCTGCATCATTTGGCACCACCAGCAGCTGCCCTGAAGCAAGGCCTTGACCTGATATCAGAAAGGGCTCTTAGTCTAGGTACAGTGGTGGGAGTGGAATAAGAACAGGAATAAAACTGCAGGACATGTTGCAGGCCAGACATGAGCTGTGTGAGAGAAATTAGCACAACACAAAGTCCCATGGCTTTTACTGCTTTGTGAAGATAATCACTGTGATGTTATATACCTCTTTTGGGACATCCAGTGCTTCAATTTCTGTGCTGCTGATCTCCCATGCACTGAAGATTTCAGTGTGTCTGATATCCCTCTTTTTCATCCTCATTTGGGGGCCTTGGTATGGCATCTGTCTGCAGCTGGATGGAAGATCACATTGTCTCTGCACACTTGTCTCTGTGCAAGGCAATTACCAAGTGAAGGAGCTGAACCTCAGCCACAGCAAGTTTTCTGAGGAAGGAGGACAACTCCTAGGACAGATACTTGGTAACTGAATTTATTACTTCTGCAAAGCCAGGAGTACAGACACTGGGGGAGTGGATGGTGTCAGCACAGTGAACATGTATTTCCTTCTCTAGCAAAAATGCCCGTTGACCTGGTGAGTAGTACAAAAGCCAGGGCACCCAGATTCAGAGCTTCCTGGCTGATGCACAGACTCACCCTTATCACCACAGGTGACTCTAGCAACTATGACTAATGTAAGAGAATACACATGCAGGATGAGAAACCACAGTAATAGAGCAGTCTGTGACAGAGAAGGGAGCTGAAAGAGAAGTCCCGCAAGGAGTAAGTCTAAGGCAGAAAATTGCACTCTACTAAAATCTCAGAATCAGAACTGTTGTTTGTTTAAAGCTTTTGATTACAAAGTTCAGGAATTATTTCAGTTTTTCTTAAGCAGCCCAAACCCTAATGGTTTTAGCCATTGCACAGTAAGTAGCAAGAGAAACAGATTAGGAAGGAATAAAATTAAGCTGCCTAATCCGTCTGTTCAGACAAAGTGAGACCCAGAGTGTGTTAGTAGCACTTGAAAGGGAAAGCAAACAAAACTGTTAGTCTTTCAGTAATCTCAGGCACTATTACTACACTGTGAAAGACTTGCATGGATATCTGAGGATTCTTCTTCCCTCAGTAAATCCAACACAGCTGCCACTACAATGGCCACAAGCATGTGCTGTGAGCATCCAGTGTTCCTTGAGCATTTCAGTATCACCATGCTTTCAGTTTAACTGATGCTTTCCTTCTCTTGGTTCAGTATTTCCACTGATATGTATCTCTCCATGCCTTTAAAATATGGATCAATTAAAACTGAAGTGAGGACAAGGCACTGTGCCCCTGCCTTGAGCAAACCTGCAGACAGCACAGACATCAGTACTAAAACGTGTGACCTTCCTAGTCCAGAAAAATGCTTCTCCAAAATGCAAGGTTTTACAGCTCTTCTTCCAGCTCGCTTGAAGCAGGAGCAGCAGAGATAACTGCAGAATCTGTCACTTTCCTGTTTTGTTTCTTAAAGGAATATTTTTAAGTCAGCTAAATTCACCATCTGCTTGCATCCAACCTCCCATGCATGGAAAATCTGGATGAGAAATTCTCTCTGGGAATGAGAAGTAAGTGTTGGCAGCAAGTCCTATCCCTCCCAATGTCGCAGTAGACACAAATGAATTCACACATACCCTGCTCTAAGTAGAACTTACACTGTGAGGTGTGCAAAGCATGTGAATTGGCACTGACACATATACAGCTGGGCACAGCTACCATATGAAGCTGAATTCCTCTCCTCTGCTAATCAAACATATGCAGAGTGAGTATTGATATTTTAGATGTGGAAAGGAGAATCCAGACATTTATCACAGTGACAAAAACAGGCAATGTCTATTAATATAAGAAATCCTCCCTCTCTCTACCTTCCTCCAATGTAAATGATTTGGTAAGAATTTATTCAAGCACAGGATAAACTGTCATTGCCAAAACAGGGCAATGTCACAGCACTACCTAAAGTAGAGGAGTATTATAAAATCCTGGGGAAAAAAGCCAAAAACTGCCTTCTACTAAGCTAGGGATCAATAGTCCAGGAAAGGGCAAAACTGAATGACCAGCCAAGTTGGCTTCAGAGCTTAGAGTTGAGAGCTAACATGTCTTCTCAATTCAAGATCAGACTCTAGGAATTCCACTCAGAAAAGACAGCTTGCTTGCGAGCTGCATTCTCAGCTAGATCTAGCATCACCATCCTGAGAGCCTGCAAATAGCAGTATGGTGGTTGAGAGACATCTTTAAAGCTGTTTATCTAGGCTCATCTCTGTCCTTGTCAATCACTGCAACCACATCAGTCTGTGGGACTGCTGTTTTAGATTATGTAAATTAACATGTCTGTCTGCTTTGCTCTTAACCTTGCCTGAAATAAGACCACTAGCTCACACCAAGGCATTCCTCTATGTGTGTAGCTGCAGAGATTGTCTTAGGAGCTGATAGCACAAGGACTTAAAGGAGGACATATCTTCTGCTGGCCAACATTAGCAAAGAAACTTCTCTTTCTTACAGTGGGAGTGGGGAAGGCATATGATGTCCAAGGTGGAGGGGATGTGAATTTCACAGACCAAGAGATGCACATGGCAGTGCCAACCCCATAACACTGGATAACCAGACAAGGTAGGCTGCAGGCAGACAAACAGCCTGAGCTCTGATCTGCTGTGCTGCCAAGAGGAGGCAAGGGTATGGAAAACGTCCTGAGGGGCACACTCACATCCAGAGGGACCTTACTAGCAAGCACACATTCAAATGCAGCCCATTGCCTCATCTTCTCCTCATCACACAACTTAACACAGTCCACATCACATCTTCCTGCATGACAGATGTAAGGGACCTGATACGTGGAATTTCACACAAGAAGACAGAGAGAAACTGACATGGTAACTCCACTTGGAAGCTTCATTGCAGACTTCTGTGGGACAGTGACAAGATGGTGAGATAACAGACAAACACGCTGAAAGGAGCCACATTTATTCTACAGCCCTGCTGAAGAATGGGAAGAAAGGGCCAATCTTAAGGTTACAGCATGCCTTCTGCTAAGCATGACATCCATGTCTGCATTTATGTCTCCTCTTTCATAGATGGACAATAATCCCCTGGCCATGGAAGGTGCCACAGCACTAGTCACATCTGCCAGAAAGAACAGATCCTTCTCCAAATTCATGATGGATGAGATCGACATCTCAGAATTTATGTGCTGGAAAGCCTCCAGGACCATACACTATGCATTTTTAGGAAGTGGGTGGATCACAGAGCTTCCCCCTTCCAAAACTGTTTTGAGAGTTGCTGTTTGTTTCATTTATGCACAGTCAGTAATAAAAAGAGGCTAGTATTTGACAACCCTTCTAGAAGCCATGTGGAATTTGACTTTGGTCTAGCTCTGGAGAGAGGGGCTTGTAGTTTCACCACATTTCACTCCCTTCCAGTTTGTAACAGCAGAACAAGAACAAGGAGTGAATTCCCACTGGAGGATGAATTTGCTTCATCCCCTCAGCTGTCTTCCTCCAGGGTAGCCTGAGATGCTAGATACTGTGAAATGCTTTGATACTCTGTCAGTATGTGTGAGGAATAGAAGAAGACAGATGCTTCAAGCATTGAAATAAAAGCAGTTCTATTTAAAATAGAAAAAAAAAATAGAAAAAAAACCCCAAGTAAATCAAACATTAAAAGGCTGGTGAGGAAGGAAAAAAATCAAAGCGACCAAATCTTAGTATGCTACCCTGCAGCTAGGAGGGAGCATGACACATACTGTTGTAACCTCATGTGATGCTTCTAAAATGGGAGACCAAGAAATGCTTCCTAGCTCCTGAGTGAGAGCAGACCAAGATGGGGGAGAGACCTGGGCATATATCAGTCTAGTACTGTCCCTCCCATCCATGCATTGGTTCTTCATGGGAACAGTTACAGAAGGTGTCAGGGGCCTCAGGGCCTTCCACCCACCTTTGGGAGCACTGTGATCAAAGGAAAGAGCATTTTCCCAGGAATTAGCTTTGGGGTTTGGAACATAAATAGTATGTTCACACTTGAAACAAGCTAAAAATAAAGTTCATGGGCAGTTTTGGAGACTTATGTAATGAGTTGTATCTGCATGTATTTCTTTGACCTGTGATTACTACATTAAAGAAAGAAACTAAAAATAAGTAGAATAAGTAATATTCATACATATTCTTTCCTGAGAGTATTGAGCACTTTCAACAGAGATCATCTAAAGAACAGGCATTTCTCTAGGGCAAAGATTTTTTTCCTGCATAATTTAAGATCAAAGAGAATTATTTTCCAAGTCTGCAAGGAGTCAGCCCTCATTCTGCAAAGGAAAACTAAAACAGGCCGTATGAGGGTAAAGGACTGCATTACAGTAGATGCTGTTTGCTGGTTTTATTATTAATAACCTAAACAATTCATAAAATTGGAAAGAGTAATTATTTTAGCTAAATCCGGAGAAATTAAAAGAAATTATTGAAATACATCTATTTAAAAAAAGACTCAAGAAATTTTGAGGCAAGGAGTTAATCTTCAATCCAACCTAAAATCTCACTATGAATTCTGCGTTTTAGTTGTTCTTTTCACCTCACCCTTGAAAAAGTCTAAATTACCTGGCATTTCATGAGATAAATGGTCAATGGCATAAATTTACAATGACATTTCAGTATCCCAATCAAATGCTTGTAGGCAAACATCTAATCTGTCTGACAGACTTCATTCCACCTGTGCTGTAGGGAGTCTTGCATTTCAATTCAGAGTAATTGTAAATATACAGCACCAAAAACCTTATGTTGCCTTAAACCTTAGAGAAATCAGTCAAGCTTTTAGTCTTTTACAGGAAAGTTAAGGGAAGACATAAACAAAAGCTGCCTCTGCTCCTTTCCTCAGTGATAAGTGCTTATCTTGACTTTTATAGAATGATTTATTAGTGTGTCTATAAGAGAAATCTGGAATAAGAATCGGAGCTAGAAACCTATGCATGGGTTTGACAGCACTAGCAATAGTGAAGCAATAGAAAGGCACATTTTTAACAAGTTTATTCCTTCTGACAACATTTCTAAGCATGACTGTTCCCCACATTCTTTTCATAATCTACTATTCATAGGGTTCAAACTTGAAGATACTATTAAACATTTTCTAGAAGCTGTGAATCAAAGCAGCCAGCGTATGCTCGTATTCAGCATCACAGTACGAAAGACACTATTGTTCCTCTCCAGCTGTCCATGTGTCTGTTTCTGGACTGGACTGACCATGTCCAACATGCAGAAATGCCCAAGCTGTCTCCCTTCACGTGCTGTCCCATCCCAGCAGTTTGTTAGGCCAGACACGGTGCTTTGGCCACGCTGCTTCTGAGGCTGCACTGGCAGTCCAAGGGCTTTCACATGGGGTCAAGCCAGGCTGGCAAGCCTGGGGAGAGCTGGCAGCCAGCAGAGACAGCTCAGTCTTTCCTGTGCTACATTCCCAGGACTAGGTCACTGTTAGTGTGCATAGTGCAAGGGTGTCTGAATGGCTTCTTCAGAGAGCCACGGTGCATCCAGAAAACCCTTGGTGCTGAGTGAAAGCTAGGAAACCCAGCTGGACCCAGACTGGCTCAAGGCTGGTTTTGAGTAGTAACAGTCAAGAGCTCACTGCACAGTAGACTATAAGCTTCTAGACGGATCTTAAGAACAGTGGATCTTAAGTTTCCAAAAGAAGCTATAAGAATGCATTGTGAAACTTTGTAAATAAACTTGAAAAAAATGCAGCGGTTGATGCCTTAGGAACCCCCACAAGGACAGAAACAGAAGCTTTCATGAATTTCCTGAACTTCCTTGAAATTTCCAACAATTAAGCATATAACTAAAGTAATATGTGAACAATTCTTCTGTCATCATGGGCATGAGCAAAATCATAGTCATGTTTTTAAAAGCTCAGTCCAGGCAAAGGCAAATGTGTCATAACTTAAATTTAGCAGAATAACGTACAGTGACATCTACAATATTTTCATTGATAACTTACTTTCTAATATTCCAAACCCTTAAATCAGGACACTGTGCAGCTGCATATTCAGTAAATGTTAAAACAGAAAACTCACTATGTGAGCTCTGAAATGCTGAGCTGTCACTACTCTGGGTGAAATTCTTAGGAAAAAACAAATGTCATATCTTCTGCTGCTGACTGGAGCTTCCTCTTAGGGTTACACAATGAAACAGAGCTTTGCCAAAACTTCAATTAACCTGGAGACCCCCAGACCTTTCCCATATAGGATCATCTTTCTTGTCTGGGCTACAAAGCTACATTCCTGGAGATACTAATCCTTTAAGGCCTTGGCTGATTTTTTTCTTTTTTCCATTTCTGCAGAACTCTATGGCACATTTTGGCTACTACCTGTTCAACTTGAAGTCTGCATCTTAACATAATAGAGAGGAGGCCCATCTAGAACTGTCCCTTGGATGAACACGAATCCCTTGAATCACTGAACATAAGAGGTCTTTGGTGTAGACATTTACCTGATGAACACCAACCTTGCATTAAGCCAATTTCTGCATAATTTGTTAGACCCTTTTCTGTCTCAGACATGGAAAAAGCAAAAGATGAATGCATATTTAGGGTTAGGCCTCCATGGGATTCCTAAAAGTGAAGAGCAGAGATAGCAGAAGGCACCATCCTTAGGAGAGAATGGTTAATGCATTTCTGAATACAAGAAAATCTTTGTTGTTCTCTGGGTGTCCACACTTGCTGCACTCTCCTTGCTCCTATGTACAAGGATGAATTGGTGAATGAAACTTTCATCAAGTTGTGGGATTTGGTGTGTCAAATATGTCCTGAACAAGATGTCATCTATAGTGAGGTTGAAGGCTGTATAGACAAGATCCCCAACAGCATTCAAGCCCCATGGAAGTGATTCAGGTGAGCTACTGAATTTGGGTCCTTAGCAACCCTGTACACAGTGCTCATGCTCCAAATACTTGCAAATGTTGAAAGGGGTAAGCTTTCTTCCAAGCGGGAAATTCAGCCAAGTTCCTTCAGAAAAGTAAATTCACAAAGACAGTCACAATATTCACATATCTCAGTTCACACAGAGTGACTAAGCAAATCCTTTGATCTTCCGGAGAAGCTACTGCCTTGGGGCCTGAGAGCACTGCTCGGGGAAAAGGAACTTGAATAGACGTTTGCTTGCTGTGTCAAAGAAACTGTTTGATTTCAGGTCCGATTCAAGTAAGCGTCCATCCTCATCACAAGCCCACCACACTATCTGATTTTCATAGAACCCTTCACTGACAGTTGTGCTTTAGCATCAAAATTAATGTGCTTCATAAAAGTAGGATATGGTATTACAAGCAGATACTGTCCTAAATAGACATTACTTAGGTTTTCAAGGTCTGCAGTTTCCATGGATAGCAGCAGATGGGGCTGTCCTCCTTGCTGGAAACCAGCGCAAGCACTTGAGCATTGCTGAGTTAAATACTTTTGCACTACCAGCTTCACTGTGTTTCTTAACTGCTGTGCAGGTTTTCAGCTAATTGGGTGAGACTTTGCTGTAGGTAAGGGTTCAGATGAACTTAAGCAAAAGCTTTGGCTGTTAGCTCACATCAAACAGTGCTGCTGTGCTTCACAGCCAGTGACACTTGCACTACCATGCTTTGCAGGTTTTAATAGCCATTATGGTATTCAGTGTGTCCTCATTCAGACAGAGGGGAATTCAGAGAAGAGTAACTAAAGTGATCAGACATCTGGGGGAGAGAACTGTCTGGATTAGACAGCCTAGCCAAGCAGTGGCTGCTGGGATGAGTACCAAATAACCATATGCAATTATCAGAAAAACCAGGTTTACTACTGAGTCTCGATTCAAGGTAGGGGGAGAAGAAGGTATAACTGAGAAGAATGTGATTAACCTGAACAAAAGGATTTTGTTCTGACAATAGGGTGACTGCACAAGGAGTCAAGGACTCATATCTCTCAGTGATAGGCTGAGTAAAGGCAGGGTGAAAGATGGAAGAATCAGGGGAGACCTGAAGGCAGGTATCACTGGCTGTTTCATGGTTATGCTCACGTTTTATCTCTGCTTCTGTGAGGACTATTTGAAAGAGCACAACCTACAGCTCTGACACTTTTTAGGAATACTGATAAGGATGGAAACATGAAGTTCCTGTGTGCCATCTGGAAAGCCTTGATGCAGGTGTGCCTCTGAAAGCATGGCCAGAATGCTCTTCTGGCAGGGTACTGCCCTAGGGAAACCCCTCTGCTGCAGCACAGCCACCAGCCAGCCTTGCTGGTGATATTGTTCAGGCTAAAAGGCTAAATTCACTCATTGAAGTTGAGCCTTGAATGAGACCATCAGAAATACTGTGACACACAATAAATACTGCAGATGGCATCAGTGATAATGGACCAACTACAGAATGTCACAGGCATCCACTGTTAATATAGGATATAAGGATCTTGATAGATACTTATGCCTTACTGCTATGGGAAAGTGCAAAATAGGCATCTAAACTCTCACCTCTACAACTGAGTAGACAGTTCTCTTCCTGCCAAAACCACCATGGTGCTTGGTATCAGTAGCAACGGTCACCCAGCAATGATGTTCTTTTACAAAACAAAGGCCAAAAAAAGGGGGGAAAAAAAAGTATAAGAAAAAGAGTTAAATTGCCTCCCCATTGCCACTCTGGATTTTTTTCCAGCCCTTTCTCCATGTACCAGGCCACCTGCTCACCTATTAAAAGATGGCCAGGCCTCAGTCTGATATGGAGGATTTTTCTGCTTAAAATTACCCAGGTTTTCTAGCAGTTCTCCTCTTAGCAAAAAAACATCCCATTGGATTGAGTCCAAATTGGGGAACTAGTGCACAAGCTAGACCAGAATCAGACATCAGTTGTGCATTAGAGGTACATGAGTGGCTCCACTTACTCTCCTGGTTTGTCTTTCTTTTTTTCAGTTTAGGTCAACACCAAATAAATGTAACCTTATTCACCTTAGGAGGTGAAGAGACATACGGTTTTGGCCAGTCCATTACTTAACAAAGTAAAAGGTAATTTAAAAAAACACCTTGTATGCTTAAAAGCTCTGTTGAATCAAATTAGAAGTTAGTCTTATTTTCCTATTTGCTAAACTTGCTGTGAAAGATCTCAGAGCTGAATGGCATTTTCATTCATTCTCGTCAGCCTGTGTGAGAAGAATCAGCTCAGCACTGTCCTCCCCCTGAAGCCAGGGTAAGATTTGCAAAGACAGCATATCTGTGCTGTCAGAACTTTCTGCCATCCTCAGGGAGTCATGAGGGTTTTTTCCCTTCTCTCTGATCCCTCTTCTTAGGAGACCTAGTTTTCCCTGGAAACCCGCCTTCAAACTACAGAAGTTTCCATTCTCTTGAAAGTGCCTCTTCCTTAGTGCCTGTAGCAATCATGTCCAAGTTCTGAGAGCCTGAGCATTCAGCAGCAAACTCCTCAGAGGTTGCCAGTCGCTGCAGGCTAAACCACTTGTCATTGGCCCCAGAATTCCCCCTAGATTTTCAGTCAGTTCTGACATGTGATTCATGAGCTGAAAGCCCTGTTAATCATGCCCAAATATTCCCATCCCTCAGCACATACTAATGGGTTTAAATATACATTGTAGTCTAGTTTTTAAGGCTAGAAGCAATGGGTCAGTTTTGCTCTTAGCCTCCTAAGGTTTTCAAAGAGAAGCAAATTACTTCGCTGGGTTTGGTCTTGATTCCTCCACATATATCGGTGCTGTACCAAGAGCATTCATGCTCAGATGCTCGGGGTGCCTTAGCCTGGTTAATCTTGAATCAGAGGTTACATGGGTTTCCCAAGCACTTCAAGCACAACTTACAGAATGGTGATTAAGGAGTAATCACATGAACCCAATGGCCAGCAAAGACTTAACTCCCTTGCCATTAATGTGACTGGGTTGATATATGGGGGAAAATAGATGCATATATCTACCCCTTTTCTAGCTTCTTGATACATTTTAGCACCGTAGCATGTGTGAAGTGGTAATATTCACCTTGTAGACAAGAGTATGACCTTTGCTGTCCTTACAGTTCCTACCTCAGGCTGTTATCTCAAGATCCTCTCAGCAGCTTTTAGATACCTGACAGAGAAGGTTCACTTTACTAGATTAATACTGGTTCACTTCCTTTTCAGTCATTTAAAAGAGCAGAAGCCAGTACAGAAGCCTGTGGAAGGGAAAATTGAGGAGGAAGAGAAGGAAGAGCTATAAAAATGAAGAAAGGAGGTAGGTCAGACAATGCAAGATTGTATAAGAAACACTGAAAGAAAGCTCAGAGTGGCTCTGGCCTTGAGGAGACCGAACACTAGGGAGCTTTGATAGTCTAAGTTGTTCAATGTATATAATGTATATAATAAAGCTGATGTTCCACTACACAGCAGGTCCCTATACAGTCTGGATCCATTTTTGTTAAGGAAAGACTGGTCCTTTGGACCTGGTTACCTGCTCTGTATGCTGACAGTGAAGGCAAAAAAGTGGGAATTGGAAACAAAGACTCTCATATATTGTTACTATCTCCTTTTGAGGCAAAGCACATGGACAAACACTGAAGCAAGGGCCCTGCAGTTGTCCCTACCAGCTTAGCAGATCTGACACCGGGTCTTTTGCAAGAGGAAAAAAATTAAGTTCATGAAAAACTACAGCTCATGGTGCTTAAAAAGTTATGGGTGATACAAATTTCATTTAACATCCGCATGGGTAAAAAAATGGTAGAAAGGTAGAAGACATAACAGATTTTAAATGACAGATAGTGAACTTTTTTAAACCAACATTGAAAAAATATATTTTGACAGCTTTTAAGAAGGAATTAAAGTATTGCCTATATTAATATTTATAAAAGATAGAATCTAGATAACATAAATATGTACAGGAAGTAAATTTTGCCATGCAAGCAACTGCCAACATAGACTATACACCAAGAACCTTGGAGAACTGGGAAATCTTGGCCACTTTGAGAATATCAGCCTTCAGTGGAAAGGAAAAGAAGCAGCTAGTTGCAGTCTGGTTAAGTCTTTCCCAACAGAATGTCCACATGAAAAAAAAAGATCTTTGAAATACCTTGAAAATCTTCGATAGAATTTAGGTGGCTCCAGGGCCTAATCAGAGGTCAACATGACTGTTGGCATGATGGTACTGGTATGACTGCTCAGTAGCCTTCAGTAGACTTCAGCTCATTACCCCAGCAGGGCTGTGTCCTCTGATTCCAGCATCTACGTGTGATTGTAGTCAGTACCCCCTTCACCTACAGAATGTGTGGGGGTTTGAGATGAAGATTTATAGCATTTAAGATTTATAGCATTTGAGATGTTGGGCAGTTTGCACATGCAGGGGCATAACTCTGTGGGGTTTTCTGTTCTTTTCCAGATCATTCCTGAAATGTAATTAACATTTCTCGACTATTCCTAAGCACTGAGGAACATTTTCACAGGGGTGCACCACACCAAACCCGCAGGACATTACTGCTGAACGCTGGTGCTCGAGAGGGAGCGGTCAGTGCCCTCCGCTGTGCGATTCGAGCTCGCTCGTTCCTAAGACGGCCGCGCCGGGTGGAGCGCGGGGGCTGCGCGGGAAATGCACGAGGGATGCGCGGGGGCTGCGCGGGGGATGCGCGGGATATGCTCGGGGGATGCGCGGAGGATGCGCGGGG